GGATGGAGATTCTCCTTGGCTCTCTTCTTGTCATTAATATATTTGTAAAAACTTTTTTTGTTGTCTTTAACGACAGCGGCCAGATTGCGTTCTAGCTGGGCTTTTGCCTTTCTCATTTCTTCTCTGCACGACCTAACGAGATCCCTGTACTCTTCTTGAGTCGCCTGCCCCTTCTTCCACAAGCGGTAAACTCTCCTTTTTTTCCTGAGTCCCAGCAAGAGCTCCCAGTTCAGCCAGGCCGGTCGTCTTCCCCGCCCGTTCTTCTTACGGCGTACAGGGACAGCCTGCTCCTGCGCCTTTAAGACTTCCTTCTTGAAGATCGTCCAGCCTTCCTGGACCCGTTTGCCCTTCAGGACCGTCTCCCACGGGACTCTCTCATCCTTTGATTATGCAAAAGACTTTGCATCCACTGCATGAGCCCCAAAATTCTTGATCCATAAACAAATCCACATGTTCAGACTTTCTTTCCTCTGTTTTACTCTATAAAACACATAGCTGTTAGGAAAAGCCCTTTGACTTTAATGACAATTATTACTTCTTCTGTATAGCAGGAATTGAAATTGAGTTTTTTGCTCAAAATAACCCCTCTGATGGTCCCTCTTTGACAGAAATGAGCTTCAGCCAGAAATTTTCAATCCAGATGTAAACATCCCCCAAAGTTTAGGAGCTCAGTTCCTGAGGGTGTTGTGTTAATTTACTAGCAGAAGCAAAGACATTTGTTGTCTAGTGACTAACAGCCAGTGGGAGACGCCCCTGAAGGACAGTCCATTGAAGCCAGTGGGAGACGCCCTGTTAATTTTCAGCAAGCATAACCAGTACATATTACTATTCAGTTTGTATAAGGCCTCCTGTTATGAAATACATCAAACATAGCACTTTGTTCCTAAATTGAAACCGTGAGTAAAATAAAGTACAAAATAAAGTAGAAGTAAAATGATCCTACCATACAAGAAGTCTGGATTTTCTCCTCTTGTTTTGTTTCTCTTTTGCTCCAAGTTCAGGATTATAAAATGCTTATATATCCTTTTCATCTGAGATAGATCTGTCCTTGACCACCTCAGTGGGGAACCATTCCAAGAATACCTAAACAGCATGTACTTTGACAGGTTTCTCCAGTGGAAGTGGTTGGAAAGGTAAGTGTGACTATTTTTTTTTTTTTAATTAAAAACGAATACAAAAGGTTTATTTTCACTTCCCATGCAAAACCTGTAGAATATGGTCAAAATCTGACAGCTGAGATAGTACGCTTGCTCCCTTTGCCTTCAAGATAAAGGCAGTTCGGCCTTTCTTCAGCATTACTGTGCCTCATCCTAATGTTTGCCATTTATGGCCCTCTCTGTGCAGCGATTCTCTCCCTCTTTTCACTGTTCTCCTTCAAGAAGGTCCATCAAGACTCATTCCCCATTTCCCTGAGCTGTACTCCAGGGAAGCTCTCCCAGAGAGCTCCAGGAAGGCTTTCCTAATTTTAGCATTTGTTTGTCAGTGTTCGTTGTTAGAAGGTTCACGAAGAGGTAATGGCTTTAGCCACAGGAAATTGCCATATAGAAAAGTTACGGTTATGTTGGCGTTAGACTCAATTTAACCATGAGCTGAGTCTCCAGCTGTGACCATCCAACGAGCACGATTAGTGTCTGGGATATATATAGTGCTCCTTCATCGTCCATGAATGTGCTTACACCCATAAATACTCTCCAGCCGCTCCCTTCTCTCTCAGGGACACCGCACTCCTGAAGGTGACATGCTCCAGCAAGCAGCTTGGGCACCTTTTTTGCACAGTATGCTTGTGCACGGCAAGTGAATAGAGCAAGACCTACAACCTATAAAAAATAGGAATCCAAATCTCCTGTGATCTGAGAAACGTCTGTGGCCAATTTCATTGTAGGCCTTGTCACAACAAGCTACTCATGGCACAGCTTGAAGGACACATTGCACTTTTTTATAACCTACCCCTGTGCATCTAGAATGCTAAACATAAGATACACATCGAGTCTCTGGCTTTTGTGTTTGCAAACACTGTGCCCAAGCAAGACTGAAACAGATGCCGCTCACTAGGGAAGTAAAGAATAAAACAGAAATCCACCGCAAAACACCAGGGAGCCAGTTTTGGCTTCTAAAGCTCAAGTGTTCGGCCATTTAATGGTATTAGGTACATTAGGCACATTAGGTATGATTAAAGTACATTCAGCAACTTCAGTTGTCTTTCTGCTTAGCTACGCTCTGAATATGGTGACTTTTTGTCTGGACCAGTTATTACAATTATTAAATCACTGTAAACAGACAAAAACACCCATATAGGTTCTCGCACCGTATTTATTGGCTAGACATTTCTGAGCACATTTAATAACCAGGCAGCCTTAGTGGGTATTAATTTGCAAGGAAAGGGGCCTTTGCCTTCTCCTTGGCGGTGAGGGCTGTAGCAGACATACACTGCTGGGTAACAGTGACCTTGAGTTGAGAGAAGCCCCAGTTTCCACAAATGGAATTAATTACGGCAGATGAGTTAGGGCCAGATCCATGAGCGGTGTGTACCAGCATGATGCCTCGGAGATCAAAGGAGCTGAGCCAGTTCCTCTCCCTGGAAAGCTACAGAGCTGCTGCACAGGAGGGAATGGAAGCAGTGGGCAGAGGGGAGAGCCATTTCATGCCAAGACATGCTCCACATGCCATCTTTACTGAATCCAGCATTTACTCTTCCATTTCAATTAAAAAAAATCAGATTATTCATCTCTAGCCAGACTATTTCCTATCTATTTTCACATTTGGGATAAGGAATTTTCTCAAATGCCTTGAGGATTTGTTTTTTCCATTCCCCCAACAAACGTGACAAGCTATTGGATGTGCCTATCCGGCTTAAGAAGCTGGGAGAACTGTTTTTAGGATTAGCAAAGAGATGTTAGCACGGAGAGATCAACAGCTCCTTCAGACAGCCTGCTGGCTCCAACGGAGGAGTCAAACAGTCCATTTATTCCAGGGACATTGCTGAGCATGTAGTTATTGCTGCTAATTGTTGCTTTTAACCCCAGTAGCATTTGCAGTATCTTCACAGAAGCCTGAAAATAGCATCTTTTCCTCTTCTAGTTTTGGCCTTCTGCGTATTTTTCTTCCCCCACTTTTAAAAACAATAATGAACGTAAACGAAATGATTCACTTTAACATTTATTCCTTATTGTCATCAACCTCATCATCACTGTTGTGGGAACAGCCATGTTATCGTGCTCCCTCTGCCGACTGGCTGCCCGCCAGAGGAAAACAAAGCTGGTAGGAATATTCATATCGACTGCTAATATAATTGTAAAACTTCAGTGATGGAGCGGTGGATACAAAATTGGATCTCTCTGAATCTAGAGTTCTTCTTCTGTCACGTTGTAAAACTTTGATGATAACAAATGTGGTATAAGTTAGATGTAGGGCTGGAGCCCTTTTGGTAGAGCAGAGTTTTGTGGGAATCCTGTAAGATCATATAGTGACCGTGTCTAGTGATCGTTAGGGAGCACTCTGCCCTCAGAAAGAAAGACAGACTTATTTAACCCTTAATTTGGCCCTTAAAAGGAAATAGATGCTTTCCCTCCCTTTTTGCCTGTGATGCTTTCCCAGGAGGCAGGTACCCCAGGGCTTGGAGCCCGGCTTCCTGCTCTCCCCTCCTGCGGACGGGACCTAAACCCACCTCTCCGGTTCCTGGGATTGTTTCTTCCCTTGTTTCACGTCAGTTTCCTGTTTTGTTTAAGGTCAAGAAACCAGAAATATTTTCTGGTGGATCGAATTTTGGATCTCTTTTTCTCATCTTGAAGACCAAGCAAAGCAATAAAGTGTTAGCCCAGCACTACCCTTACAAAATTCCTATATATCGTCAGAATTAATATCTTGTTGGAAGCTCTCAGGCCTCCTCTTTGCTTAACAAAGGCCAAAACTATATTATAATGGAGATTCAGAATCCTCCTTGGTCCTAAGATGCTAGCAGAAATTATACTGATGACTCACTAATTTGAAGACCAAGCAAAGCAATAAAGTGTTAGCCCAGCACTACCCTTACAAAATTCCTATATATCGTCAGAATTAATATCTTGTTGGAAGCTCTCAGGCCTCCTCTTTGCTTAACAAAGGCCAAAACTATATTATAATGGAGATTCAGAATCCTCCTTGGTCCTAAGATGCTAGCAGAAATTATACTGATGACTCACTAATATGTTGTATTTTATTACAGCTTAATATGTTGGAATTGAAAAGTTCAAGCCGTACATAGTATTGAAGTAATGTAATTACATAATTATATATTATATTATATAATATGATTACCTTTAAATAATGTGATTATATAATATTTATCTATTTTGCTTTTCAAAAGTATGCTCTGAAATAAATAAATCACAGAGAGTGCATTAAATGTAGTGTGTCTTTTTTTTTTTTTTTAATTTCCTTTTCTTCCAGGCAACCAGTAACGAAAAACACGTTTCGGCAGTACAGGGTACTAGGGAAAGGCGGCTTTGGGGAGGTGAGAAATTCTGAAAGTTTCTGTTAAGAGTGTTTCTTACTTCTCAGGCACTGCAGGTTACAGGAGCCTGATGCGACAGAGGCTGATTTTCATTAATTGCTGACAGTTTTACTTAACCTCTCATGACACTGTAATCTCAAAAGAACACTTCTGAGAATTATTTTGTATGTGACCGTTGCATTCACAGTGGAATTAGGGTCACACCCTTATTTGTATTTTACTGATGGCTCGAGGTCGCTGCCTAGGCAGCAGAGTCAGAGGAGGCGCGGACAGGCTTTAGCTGAGCAGATTACAATCTGCACAGACAAAAGGAGGTGGGATAGGAAGCGGGCGGAGGAAAGTGAAATAATTAAACCAGTATTACACAGCAGGTTTGGAAACAGTAGTCGGTTCCCCAGCTGCCCCCGCCTGTGCCTTATTCGCTACGCCGCCGTCTCTAACCTTAAAAGGACTAAATCCGATCAGATCGTGAGGAGTAAAGTGCAACCCAGACACAGCGTTTGCTTCGACTTACCCAGCAATTGTTCTGTTTAATTCGCAGGTCTGCGCTTGCCAAGTCCGAGCGACAGGGAAGATGTACGCCTGCAAGAGATTAGAGAAGAAGAGAATAAAAAAGAGGAAAGGCGAATCCATGGCACTAAATGAAAAGCAGATTTTAGAAAAAGTCAATAGTCAGTTTGTAGTGAGTATTGAACTCCCTAGAGCTCAGCTCACTGCTCACCTGCTGAGCACTGTTCTTGTTGAATCCGATGCCTCCTCCTCCTGCTACAGGAAAGGTGCCAGAAGCTGACTCCCTTCGCTTTACACCTTAGTCCTGCTCCATGTGCCTTTACCAAGTCTTATTTTAGTCTCTGGTCTGTGAGAAATGCACCAAACAAGGTGCCTGTTACTACCATGGGAGCATGATGCATTTTACAGCCTTGAATGTTTCAGGGCTGCATCAGGCTGAGCTATTTTTATCCAGCGTGATTACCTGAATTCCCAGTGTCTGGGAGAGAGGAGCTTGGAGGAGACTGAAGGAGATTCAACCCAAATAGATCAGAAGAGATTGGCTAGTAGGAGCATCTAGCCAGTGACGTGGAGCTGGTCTGCCTGACACAGGGCTTTCCTGAGATCTGCCAGCTCTTGTGTCTCTTTAAAAACTTGCCTTAGATTAAAAAAAAAAAAGGTGGTGTTATCTCAGCATCTGTCATGTTCTTTATACTTATTTTAGGAAACACTATGAATACAACAGATGCAAGATGCTTACTTACCTCTGGCAGAAGCAAAGACAATGGCACATAGTTAAAAGTGATGGGTAGCTTTGGGCTTGTCTGATCGTTCCTGGGGCACCCACCAGAGCCTCGCAAGGGTGATGCTGACCTTCGTGCCTCAGTGATGGTCCGTTTGACCACCACAGGACTGAGCTATCTGGGCCTTCCTGGGAACCTACTGAGATGATGGGTTTCTGACAGCTATCCAGCAAAACAGTGCAGAGGAGGTGTAGATTCCCTTGACTGTTAAGATTTCTCTTATGTGGAAAACTATGTCTGGATTTAGTATGTTTGTCCAGCCTGTGAAGCTATCTGAGCATTAACCTTGAGGGTTTCTGATGATGAGTAGGCTGGATTCAACAAATTAATCTATAAAATCCTAACATCTGATTTTTCTGTAGTTTTAAAATTTATGTTTGCTATTGTAATAAGGCCCCTATCAAATTCGGTCAATGTATTTTTTCCCTTTTCTAGAGAAAATCTTTAATGAAAAGTTAGTGCTTTCTTCTTAGCAGCTAACTGAGCTGTCACAACTATGCTACAAATGTTTTTCTAGGTCAATTTAGCCTATGCCTATGAAACAAAGGATGCACTGTGTTTAGTTCTGACCATAATGAATGGAGGTGACCTGAAGTTTCATATCTACAACATGGGAAACCCAGGCTTTGAGGAGGAAAGAGCTTTGTTTTATGCAGCAGAGATTCTTTGTGGCTTAGAAGACCTACACAGAGAAAATACTGTGTACAGGTAAGCACTCTCTAGAGTCTTAGGACATCTTTTCTGGGTAGAAAAGAATTGCCTGCATCCTCCCTACTCATTGTGGTGCTGTACAGCTTAGATACCTCAGTGCTTTGGCTGAAATTTCACAGAGCCCTGTACAAATACAGTATGATTCAGTAATCATGGAAGGAAGCAGTTGCTTCACTAAATACATCCTGTCTAAATTACACAGAACTAACACAAAGCTCCCCAAACCCTACCTCAGCATGCACTGGGTGACATAAGAAAATTATGAAAGTTCCTTTAAAGGGATTTCATTAAGGAATCTAGTTTCTAGTTGGTATGAAATGGAGATCATTCTATTCAAGCCTCTATTTTAATTAGTTAGATTATATTGCAGATTAGATTATCAGATGTGGAAAAACCATCTCTCCTATCCCAGAGGGAGCACAATTAGCACAAGAGGGTGTTTGAGACACAGGGCATGGATTTACGCTCTAGGACACGAACTAGTCGATTAGCTAGATTGGATCGTGATGGTGGCCGTAGCATGCCAGCCGTGGAAGGAAGCACATTCACAGCCACGCAACGGAGGCGTCCTGCTGGCAGCATCCCATCCGCTGCGGGTGCAGCCAGCGGGCAGGGTGCTGCCCGGAGTGGTGACAGGCTTCGAGAAGGACAAATTTCAAGTTCGTAGCTTGCAGTCTGGCTTGCAGCTCTATATAAGCACTTTTCCAGGGCATCATAGTGTTTACTTGCTGGATAAGCAGGGTGATTGCAGACAGAGTTCTTGTGACTCCATGAGGATGTATTTTTTTTAATCAATGACCAATGTAGTTGTAAACAACATTTAATGTTTGTCTTCATCATCCCAGCTTGTGAAATTATTATTGCTGGCATTCACAGCAGAAGAGGTCCTGTAAATTAATGAAGGAACTTCCAAGGACAATGATTAATAGACAATAATATGTTATTTTTAAAAACTAAGCCACACTTTAAATCATTTGATATGCCCATGTGTAATAAGCATTATGCATATGCTTGTATACATAGAAATTAAAATATTGTTGTTCCTTGGAGGAGTTCTTTAGCAAACTGCTACTTGGTTGCTTCACTGTGACTCAGATCTTGCTAGCTGGCATAAAGAGGGCAGACAGATAACATGCTGCTTTAGCTGGCGCTGGCCCAAGAAGGAGATTTTTTTTCTCAAGGAACAAAATGGAATTAAGTGTTTAATGTCAGTTGAAAAATCAAATAATGAGTGACGTGTCTGGCTGCCCTTTTCTTTAAAAAAAATCCTACCACATTCAAAAAAGTTTTAGGAGGTATTATAGTCTTTCTTTAAAAAGTACTAGATCACAAGCATTCTTTATTGATGAAAATGACTGGTACATTCATAACATGGCTGGTAAAATGCCATACTAACTAATGCCACTTTCTAATAAAACAAATTAGATCTGGCCACCTGAAATAGTATGTGGCTCTAAGAGAAATGGCATCCTACTTCCTTAAGCAGTTGTTCTCATGTTACTCTTAAAAGAGCTGCTCGTTTACACCTCAGATGGCACATTCATTTTGGTGACGAATGATATTATATCCTTATAGGTGACATTTTCTAGCAGTATTTTAGGAGCATCTGCAGAGACCCCTAATTTGTAATACCGCAGCATGTTTTGGGACCCGTGAGAAGTGCTATATAGGTCAATAAAATATAGCAGCTAAATGCTACTATTTTCTCAAGGTGAATAATTCATCACAAAACACTTATTCCTCAGACTTAATTTCATTTTCTATGAACAAAATGCTTCTGAGTAAATCACAGCGTCGGAAAATACATCCCCATCTCATGGGCCAGTGACGCACACTACGGACGTGACCCGAGGAAACAACCAGGCTCAGAGTCAGATTTATCTGATTCAGAATTCCCTTGCCAAACATTGCACTAATGTTACATTTCTCAAGTCCATCATGTTAGTAAAGGTCAATGGGTCGATTGTTCATGGAAAGCAAACATAAAAAGCTGGTTCTCCTCAAATTATTTATATATATAAAAAAATATATATAATTTTTATTTTTAATATATATATTTTACAAATATACAAATTATTTACATATATGCTGTAGCCATGCCTGGAAGCTCCAGCCAGCATCGAGATCACATTGTCCTAGGCATTACACAAATATACAGGAAAGCCTTGTCCACTGTGATTAATTGAGTTGTTTATGCTGTCCTGTACAGCCAAACAATGTACCACCACCTTTCTAGCATGGGCACAGTGCCAGCAGTTTATGTTGCATTATATTTAGGCAAGTCTAGTTTACATATGGGAAGCTGTACCATTGGGAAGTAGTCTTACATGTAACTGTGTCCACCGGGGAGTTTTATTTCTCCGAGACATTTCAGTACAAAAATCATGTTCCTCCTTGGCACTTGGAAGTGTTGGCCATGCAAAGGAAGCCAGCCTTGATCCTGAGGAACTAGAAATCTGAAAACAGAAATGACAACTGATGCCTGTGGGGAAGGAAAGACTGCCCTAATTGCCCTAAATCACAGAGGACTGTAAGGACTGAGCTGCTGTTCTCAGAGTCCTCGTGGAGTCTCTCATTTTCTCATTCAGAGACAACATATCCCAACTTGCACACAGGATTCTAGTCATTTGGTCACAGTTACAGCTTTAAGTGGGACTAATAACTACTGGAGTGGAAGATGAAGTAACTAATGAAGTCTGAGTTCTTCAAGGAAATAGTTCTTAAGGGATTTGGAATAAATTTTAAAAAATAAATAGGAAATGCCCTCAACCATGTTGCTTCAGCATTTGAAACCTTCTGCTGATAGGCAGGGAAAGCCCACAGTGGTATGTTAAACAAAATCGCAGCTTCTCCTCGGCATTAGGCTGCCCTTCACATATTTCAGTATTGTTTATTTGAAAAGTAGGCTTGGTACCACTGGGCTCCTGGTGAAGTTTATCTTGAGAGGTCAAGAGGGTCTGAAGCAAGCAAGAAGAGGAGATTGTTCACAGCACTCTATGTTCTTGCTTGAAATAATAAATAACAACGAGACAAGTTTTGAAATTTTAATCTTGGCATTGTCAAAACTATAAAATACCCCTCTTCATTCACAGGAAAATTCACAGCACCAGAGTGGTACAGCTTGAAACACAGGGCGGGCTCCTGCACAGACTCTGTGCAATGCACTGATCTCCTGGTGCGAGGGTTTCTCTTGTACACCCCACTCTCTTTGCTCTTTGAAAAGAAATGCTTCTTGCTGGGAAGCTAACAGAATCAAGCTGGTTCACAAATGCAAGAAGGCCTTAAAAAAAGACGAGGCCAAGTGCTTCTTGGATTTGCACCAGGCTAAACGCTGTGTTTCAGTAGGAGTTGATCAGATAAAAGTCAGGGCATGATGTTGTGAATTGCAGCAATACATTTTTCCCTGCCTCACCCGGCTGCGCTGGTGCCTTATTCGGGCTCCTGAGCCAGCACAGCCTGCTCCGGTCGCACAGCCTGCTCCGGTTGCACAGCCCTTCTGGGACACTCCCTGCCCAGCATGTCTCCACCTTCCCTCTGAAACCTCCAGGTCCCATTTCCCAGGCTGACTTCATTCCCGCTTTGCACTAGCAGCAGGCTGTGCCTCGTCCCTGCTTAGTGGCAGGGGGAGGACGGGAAGGACCCCGCCTGGCTCCTGCCTTGACAGCAGCCCACCGCATCCAGGAACAGCAGCAGCGGCTGGAAAGGTGTGCTCAGCTCCCAGGCTTGGAAAACAGCCTTGGTCAAGCGAGGGGACTTGAGTGTGGGACTTGATGCCTGGGCAGCATCTAGAAGCAGCAACTGGTGGAGCAGGTTTGGTGCAAACAAACCTTTCAGAAGAATGACCTGCCAAGGCTCTGCTAAATATATGAAAACTGAGATTTTTTTTTTTTTTTTTTTTTTTTTTTTTTTTTTTTTTTTTTTGAGAAGTTTATAACTTGGCCAGATTTGGGAATTTTTTTTTCACAGGAGCAGTAAAAGGCACATCTTTGACATCAGAGTGACCACCTTGCCAATTTTCATGGCGTTGCTCCAAACCACATAGGCACTAGAGTTTCACAAATGTTTGTAAGAAGAATCTTAATCTGGGCACAGCATTCCCCCCTCTGCCCCTCATTTCCCAAACTCGCTGAAATTATTACACATGTGCACAAGTGCATGTACACACATTCACATATTTGGTCCGAGTCAGATGCCAGGGATAGAAAATTTGAGCCCAACAGATTGCTGTTTCCATTTTCATACGCAAATAAAATATTTTAAAATTTAAAATATTTTTAACAAAATATTTTATAACAGAAAATGTTACAGAGATTTAACAACACGCAGGACTATAGGGCTTGATTTACAGGGCTTACTGGACTAGATGGATGAGTCCATTATAGAGTAGATTAGGAACTAAAAGCTTGGCTTAGTGAAAAAAGGTAACTCCAGTTTAGAAAAAGACATATGGTTTCAGTCTATCTGTGAAGTGAGTTGTAGAAAGTTGTGTTGGTTTCATGAGTTCCTTGCTGTTTGAGTTGACACTCAGTTGGTTTATTACTAGTAATAAATGTGCTCACACACTGTCGTATGATGTTATCAAAACCAGCTTCATACAAATAACTGCTATCTTTCATTTTCAGAGATTTGAAGCCAGAAAATATCCTGCTAGATGATTATGGTAAGTCTCAGAGGTTTACAGAGATGCTTTCACAGGAAAGTAGATTAAGTTAGTTTTAGGATATATATTGCACAAAGACAAATAATGCTCTGAAGTGACTAAAAGGCTCAGCATACACTAATACTTCTGTCTTGGGGTGGGTGAAGTGCTAGAGCTCACCGCATGGGTGGAATGAAGCAGCCGAGCTGCTCAGCAGGGTCTGTTCTCGAGAGCGTGGCTTTGCTGGGAGCGTCTGCCTTTTTCCATTGTTTTTCCATCCTTACTGTTGCAAGGCTGACACAACACAAAGGAAGTCGGGATTTCTGAATTTGTGCTCCCCGCTCCATTTTCAAAAGTACTTTCATCCTTTGCTGAGCCAACTCTCTTTTTATGCAAACCCAGGTACCCGTTTGTTGCTGAAGGCAGCGATAATCAAATCTCATGCTGACTTACAGACCAGATGTATGTAGCCCCTTCAGCCATCAGAGAGTTACAGAATTACGTCAGCCCATCCATCCACTGTCATCAGTTCAAGATACTTCCCTACAGCATGCTCCTCATTGCCTTTTTTCAGTTGGTTTTAAAATACCTAACTCAATCCACTCTAGTCCACTGTTAAAATTACTTTCACTGCATTATAACACCCTTAATCATTCCTCTTCTCCTTATCAATGAAACTGCTCCAATTCAGTGATTCAGAACAGTCTTTTCTTAAAATGTCTGAACGGTAAATTGCAAGAATATTGCAGCGATGTGTTTTGTGTGCAGTTGTGTTTTTGAACTAATTCGGGTCATGTTATTATATCTGTTTTGTGGTGTTTTGTTTCTTTTTCCCTTCCAGGCCATATTAGAATATCTGATTTGGGTCTAGCTGTTAAAATCCCTGAGGGTGAATCAATCCGTGGAAGAGTAGGAACAGTAGGGTATATGGGTAAGTCTTCAGTAGCTTATCTTTTTGATAATTTGCTGAGATTGAGTTTTTGAGCTCTTTCTGCCACGTAGGCTTAAGAAAAAGAATAAAAAAATATTCACATTCAGCTGGGTCCAGTTCCCTGCAGCAACCCACCACGGAGTCATGCTAGTGAAAATCAGAAGTGGGCAAAAGGGTGGACCACAGTAGCTCTTAATGAGACTGGTCTATAATCCTAAATCAGCAAAGAAAATTAAAAGAGACAACAACCGGGGTGCTAGTGGTTTTAGTGTAGATTTATTTCAGGAGGGTTATGTGGATAAAAGAAAGGTTTCTTTCTAGTTGCTACTTTGTATAATAGTTAGAATGTATTTGTATGTTTATGGTAAAATGGGTAAGTCCGCACCTATGGTCATCTTGACCACAGTCATCTTGAGTCCTCCCCTAGGTGCAGGGGAGGCTGCACAAAAGCAGAGTAGAGTTTTGTATATTGGTAAAAAACACACTCCCCGATCCAACTTGATCTGTTTTCTAAATTCAGTGTAATTATTTTCATGCATTCTTGGGTGGGCATATTTCTTGGAATAAATTGCTTATGCTTATTTGACTAAATAGAAACTAGCTGATATGAACCACTGTTACACCATATGGAGACTTTAACGAAAGCAAGCAAATCAGTTGTCATTTCTAAATTTTGTTCTCTCAGTGTAAGTTTGCGTGCACACTAAGACTGTGCTTGTGAGCGTACCTGTGTGTGTTTGTACCCACGTATGGAAGTGAGGATGCCTGCAAGACAGTGACTATATGCCCAAAGCACACTGGATGGTTGCAACACAAAATAAATGGATTTGTTTTTTAAAGGGGGGAAAAAAGTTATAAATTGAGCAAAAAGAAAGAATTTGCTTTTGAAGGAATGTCGCTGCTGTTTACAGGATGTGTGTTTGTATGTCATTTCTTCCCTAAATGGAGAAATCCGGAAGGACTCTTAAGATTAGGCCTCTGCTTAATACTTAGCTTCAACTTCTTTTTGTTTTTTTAATTGGTCTGATTTGGTAGAGAAGTCAGAAGACAGCATGCACATGGCATGTAGCGTGTAGAGAAAAAAACATGGCATGTAGCATGCCGCATTTTCTGTAATGCCATCAACAGAAATCAGGTGGTATTTTTATATTTTACCCACCATTCTCTGTGCGTGTGTATTCAGTCACCAAAATGGAACTTTCAGAAATTTAATTTTTTTTGCCTATGTACATATCAAGCATTTCCACAAGACACATCTTTCTCCTCCACAGCTCCAGAAGTGTTGAACAACCAGAGATACACACTCAGCCCTGACTACTGGGGGCTAGGCTGTCTCGTTTATGAAATGATTGCTGGGCAATCACCATTTCGTGGAAGGAAAGAGAAGGTAAAGAGGGAAGAAGTGGACAGAAGAGTGCTGGAGACAGAAGAGGTGTACTCCCATAAGTTTTCTGAGGAGGCCAAGTCCATCTGTAAAATGGTAAGGGGCTTGAAGGTCCAGTGTGGCAGCTTCATTAGCAAGCTATATCTGATGCAGTTTGAGCAGTAACACAGTACCATAGAGGGACTGAAGGGACAAGGACTAACCAAGTTAATCTGTTGATGGGTTGACTGCATTCTCTTATTCATTCAAATTGTGTTTATTTGGGCTTGCTTCTCCATGAGATTCATCACAGTCTTCTCGAGTCCTCTCCAAAGTTTTATGGCCAAGGGAGCGGTATCTATTCTCATGAGACTTTGAATGTTAGTTTGCAGTCAAGAATGCATTTCTGTCTTTTATAATCTTGTAGAAAAAATAAAAAGGACTTGATGATGCAAGACTCTGATTGTCTCCTGCAAGGAACTGAAAACCCCATGCTTCCATTGTCTTTGGTGAGCGCTGGGGGTAAGCAGGACAAAGATTATGCAATGAAATTATTGTGACGCTCAAATGTTGTCCCACCCCATCTCACTAACTTTGTTAGCAGCTTTTCCCCCAGGGTGCCAGGGTATCCAGCTTTTTTTAATGCTGTTGAGCTGTCCTTTAAAATGTTTTCTCACTCTTTCAGCTGGGAGTCATTTTCGTAGCACAATAGCCATGTCTGACAATGGAAATCCTCAAACCCTCTGAGAAATCTCAAAGCTGTGTCTGAATTCATCGATGTCTTGTTGACATCCATCTTTAGAAGGCTGAATTTTAATTTGGGAAGGGATGTGGCCTTTTTCTTGATGTTGTTTGCTAAAGAGTGAAGTCTCCTTTGGAGACAATGACATATCTGTGTATACTGGTAGAGAGAGAATGAAGGGAAAGAAAGGTCAACAAATAGGTAGTGAGAGTTTCACCAATATCTTGTGCAACAGGCAAGCAAACAGCAGATCAACAACATTCTGGTTGGCTGGCTTCATGAAGAGATATTGAAGTCTCCTTGCAAAATAATAATGGTAGTATTGCCAAGTATCATGCCTGGAAGTCATTAACTCACAGTACACCAACTCATTGCTGAATCCTAGGGGTAGTAATTAACTGACATCACTCTTGATAGATACTCTAGGCCATTCACTGCCCTTAATCTGCGATTCAGAACCCCCAGTGAAGGTGGCGTGGGAGGATCTAGGACAGCCACAGGCTCTTACAGACCATTTCATGTGCTCAAACAGCCTGCCGTCTCTTCTCTAGTAGCATCTCAACTCCCACCAGGTGAGGAGCAGCGCCTGCTGGAGTGGCAGAGAGTTTGTGCGTGTCCTATTGTTAGCATGAAATGAAAATGTTGTGAGGCAAAAATTATATTCTTGTTGCTTGTTCTGTAGTTAGTTGCAGGCATGAGGCATAGTAGAATGAAAGTATACTTTGAAAATAACCAAGCCCATGAGAACTTAAACCTGAGAAGAATTAAATGTAGCATTGATGGGATAGTGCTGGAGGTGACTTACCACTCCCAAGGGAGTAGACAGTGAAAGTCATTATACTGTAGTGGTCATTTTCATCTTCAAGCCATAGAGTCTATGGTTTCAGGGAGTCAGGGACTTCAGGAAGTTATCTAGTTCATTCCCTTGCCTCAGGGAACCATGAACTATATATAAATCATTCCTGACAACTTGATCATTACTGCTTCACTGTCCAATCACATGGCATGTTTATTTAGGTGGTTTGTGCAAACTCTTAATGGATCCAAAGATAACGCTGTCATTTTTGAGCATTAATGCATTAAAATTACTGTGCCTTAAGGCTGGAAGAGCCTTACTTCTGATACTGAGCATGATGGCATTTGTGGTTTTCCATCCAAAAGTCATTTATTTTATCAGGTGATATTTTTAAAAATCCATGATTCACATATATTTTCTCAAATACTTTTTTCTCTTTATATTGAAAACCAGAACTTTGTTGCTTTGTATCAGCATCTTAACAAGCAAACAAAAAAGTGATAATTAAGTACCCATCATACCTGCAAAATGAAGCATGAAGTTGCAGTACATAAATCCAACTTGAGCCTTCACAAAGATGCAACACAAAAGGCTTTCCTGTAGTGGACTCTTCAGGGGAGGAGTGAGGAACAACATGTTTTCCACCTTGTCTCCTAACCTTCTCTTCAAAGCTTATTCCATGAGCTAATAGCGTCTCCATCAGGAAATATATTGTCTTTATTAATTTACTCATATGAAAACCCTTTAGTGTCACCCCATGTCAACATTCCCCTCCTGGATGTTTATGCCCTTTGCATTTTTGCAGGCACATATCATAGCTCCCATAAATCATCATCCATCCCATATTTCCATGTTTCATTTTGTAAGTCATTTCCCATAAATCAGCCCTCATTTTGGACTGAAACAGAGATGAATAATAAATAATTAGGAACAGGGGCAGCTGGCTTTCTGGGAAGCTCCCCAGCCCATAGTTCCCATATAACATAACTGCTTCATGGTGTGTTTTTTCTGTGAAAAAATCCAATCTTTCTAGGAAATGCTCCCTGTTTGTTGTTGTTATGACTTGTACTTCATTGATGTACATGCGTGTTTTCCCTGACAAGTGCAGTCTTGCATCCAAAGATGTGACTTGAAGTGCATTCAAGTCAACAGTACTGGACAGGCCCATATTGCTGTGCTCTTCTGTCACTCTGTCAGTGTCCTGTTTGTCTACGTTTCCCGCAGACTATCCTCCCTGCCGCTTCTTATTCCTGCAGCTCCCATTTGACTCCGCAAAAGGGGTCTCTGATTGGGGGGTGCAAAGAAGACAGAGCCAAACTCATCGTTCGGTGCCTAGTGACAGGACAGGAGGCAATGGGCACAAACTGAAACACAGGAGAGTGCCTCTGAACATCAGGAAACACTTTTGCATGGTGAGGGTAGTCAAATACTAGAACAGGTTGCCCAGAGAGGCTGTGGAGTCTCCACACACCATTCCCCTTTTCTCCTTTCATGAGCAGCAATTTTTTGCACTCTCACCCTACAAAAAATTTCCCTTACTCCTATAATTTTGGGACTAGCATCTTAGGACTTGGAGTTTTTTATTACATGGTATGATCTGGATATGAACTGACTGATCACATGAAGATAAATAAAGCAGTGCTTTGGGGACTGTTGGCTTTTTTTAGCAATCCTCACAACAGTTGTTTCTTTTTGTAAAGGAAGCAAAACAAAGTCGTGGAAAAAGTCTCAGACATTGCAGAGTTTGAATCCCCAGTGGGGATCAAATGAGTGACATGAAAGTATCAGAGAGTTCTTTATATCAAGAAAAAGATATTAATGTAACTTCACTGCTGCTACTCAAGACTCTTCTTTGAAAGTTCTATTCTAGTCACACTTTGCCCATAACTCTGTAGACTAAATCCTGCCCTCATTTACACACATCCAGTGTCCTCTGGAGCCTTTGTTACCAGAACATAAAGCTCTGCTGCTTGGTATTAACTTCATGCATGGTTGGATGGCCTAAGCCATCTTCAGATCTGAAGCTCTGTGAATTCTCCATAGGCTTTGGCTGTAGAATTACACTTAAATTATGTTTGATTGGGTCATTTGCACTGCTGTCCCAGGAGGGCTTGTCATCAGCCTGATGTAGTTGCTTTTGTTCTGCTCTCTATTCATATTAAATACATCCTTTGAAACTGAATTAAACAGAAGTGTAGAGATGACTCAAAACATACAGTTGATATCTCCGTTTTCATTCCCTGGTCAGATTCCCAAATGTGGTGCATATTTCAGGCTATTACACAGGTTTACTACTGCAGAAAGCTGCTGGGGCTGCAGGAAATGGTACAAGACTCATTATTCCTTGGACAAAGGAAGGACCTTCCCTTCTGGAAAATATTCTAGTCCATGCTCTCTCTTGATATCCACAACAGAAGCCAGGAGAAGTGTCTGGTTTCACCTGTTGCCATCTCTAGAGCTGGCTGCAGCTACAGCTTACCAAATTCCATGAATTTCTTATTTTTTCTCCATTGGGACTCTCCTCAAGGGGCAAGCAGCTGCTCCCCTGCAGCACGGCTTTGCAAGAGAATCCTCTCTTTTCTGTGGGCTTTCAGTCCCAGACTATTCCCAGTTGCCTCTTCACTTTTGTGTCTTTCAGCCTGCAGTGGCCAGCCACCCACGACCAACTGTATTCATGCTCCAGAGACTTCCTTCTTGCATCTGAGGTTACTGAATACTCCCTTGTTTATCACGGAGGAGCCTAGGAATCCCCATTCAGCCTTTTTCTAGCCTCAACTACCCTATCCTCTGACCACACACTCCAAAAAACTTCTAACATTTACAGCCCGGCAAGGGTAAATTCCCAGATTAGCTTGGTCTTCCCACTTAGTCCAGAGGCAGGAGAATTACTGGCTGCACAGACAGGAAAGTAACCCCCTTTCTTCCCTTCACAGCTGACCTGTAGAGCAGAAACTAGAGAGGTCTCCTTTATCATCTACAGGCAAGTCCAATTCTACCCCTTCCTACTGCAACTTGCTCCTCAGCAGCACTGTTCCTGAAAGCTTCAAGGTATCATTTCCAAAAGTATATCAGAGCCATGGGTAGTAGAAGTGGTCTTTCTGCTTTCAGATTCTTCTTTCCACCTGTCAGGAAAGTCCTCTCAACATAAGAAGATCAAAAGAACTTTTGTCTTCTCTGCCCAGCCACAATAGAGCAAACCAGATCTTGACTGGAAATTCCAAAGCAATCATCTTCTTTACATAGGCTAAATCCATATGCCTGTTGGGATTTAAAAAAACAAAAACAAAAATCCCACAACAAAAACCCTTGCCTCAAGACCATGAGAGCTCAAAGTCTCATGCAAGGATTTGAAAGCAAAACATCCCTCTTTCCTTCTACCCAGGGAAAGCAAGCTCCAGAGAAGTGCCCTGAGAAAGATCTTTTCCTATGAGCTGGATCAATATGGTGCTGTATCACATGAATCTATGTGCTCAGAGGATGACAAGGCATAGAGATGTTTCTTCAAGTCTTTCTCCATCTATGAACCAGCCAGTCGTGGTGACCAGTCAGACCAGATGTCACCACCTAGACAGCAGCAGAGGCAGAGGAAACTGTGAGGAAGAAAGGGACATTGCTATCTGGAAGCTGGAAGTTGCTGTTGTGGCCAGAACCACGAGCTTTTCCCCCATCCCTCAGTCCATACAGTCTCCTCTGGCTATTGCTGCTGCTGCTGCTGAGGCAGAAAGAGCCTAGCAGAAGACTCTTCTTTTCTGTCCCACAAACCCCTTCACCACCTCTTCTGGCTGCTTGGCCTCTGCCATTGTAGCTTGCTCAGGACTGGCTGGAAGATGGTCTCTGCATACATGGGGCACACTGATTGCCAAAGCCATTTGCTGTCTCAGGCTGGAAATGAGGTTCCTAGCAAAAAAATGCAGAACTGAGGAGGCTGTGGAAGTCAGATAAGAAAACCACTGATGCCCTGGGGGTAGCACAGCATTCAGAGAAGCCTAAGGAGCTGTGACCCTGTAAACCATGATAAGGACAAGAAAACCCAGCTTTAGCCAGACACCAGAGGAAAGCATACCAACCTCACATTAACAACAAACAGTTCTTTCAAGGTTCCTTCTCATTGAGATGATGTGGCTGAGACAGCAACACAACCAGAGGGTACAGGGGCATACCCTGAGCTTGAAAGCCTACAAGCAACATCTCCAGACAACCTTGCCTTAGTGGGGAAGCTGCCTGGCTCCCCATTCCCAACCTCCTGCAGGGCTGCACCTGATTGTCTACCTGATCTCCTGAAACACTTCTCTTCTCCGACCCTCCCAAAGCTATTTGCCTCCTGTTCTCCTGAGACCCAGCAGGCACTGCAAGGTACAGCTCAGCTTGCTGGCTGCCCTAGCTGTCAGGTACAGCTAGTAAGATCCCCGGGGACTTATCCGGGCGGGGTCCCAAGGGCTCAGTCCCTTCACGGACTCGGATGATCAGAGAATCCAAACCACCCCACTGTCCTGCATAGGCGCTGAGCCCCTCCGTGCGCAGGCGGTCCCAGGGAGTTTTGCTCATCATTTCAGTGCGATTGGTCTGCACAGCCCAGCTGGGGAGGGGGGAAGGGGAGATCGCTGCTTTTCAGCTCCCGCTTTGGAGCAGCAAAGCTGGAGACGGAAGAGGAGGTGAGGCGTGAACGTTTCCTTCCCCCGGGCACCCAGTCCCCAGTCCCCTCCTGCCCCAGAGAAGAGCGTCCTACACAGCTCCAAGGCCGCTCACTCGTCGGGATCCTTCCCCGAGGGGAGCGGAACCCCTCGCCGCCCCCGGCCGGGCCCCGCCGCCGCCCCGC